TGTGAACATTCTAAACTAACACGAGTCTCATTAAGTGTCCAGTTTAAAGGTATTACACAGAAACACACCAAAGGAGCATGAATCAAATATGTACTTTATTCATTTACAATAAACTCATAATGTACATCATTCTGATTGAAGCTAAGGGCATACAAAAACTGTCTAACACCCTCCTGAGGTTAAAAAATATAAAATGTGAATAATACCTTGCTGCCTATATAATTAACAGTACCAACACTTCTAACAAGGTTGATTGACACTTTCTTTAGTAACACATGATCTTTGGAGGAAGTTTGACTTCCATTTGTTACAACTAATATGGAGTCAGGGGTCATAAAGTTTAAGTTGGATAATAGTTTAGCCGTTTAGGTAAGTAAACTGCATATGATATGTATCTATGCTCAGCTTGAGGGTGAGATACTTGTATTCTGTTTGTGTTTATTTATTTGATATTGATGTTTTGTCTTTTTAGTTGTTATTATTTATATGTCTGACAAGGTGTGTGGTTGCCTTATACATGTATGTACGTATGCTATTCTTCTCCCATTTCTTTTCTTTTACTCTCCACTTTCTCTCTGCTATTCTATCTCTAGAAGTTGCACAAAATAAGTCCTTTTTTCTTTTGTCTTCTTATTTTCTTTTTTCCTTGTACCCACTTTTTCTTATCTATATAACATGGATATATATGATGCAGGGATTAGAAGATCCAACGAGGAGCAAATACAAGCTTTTCTTGAGTTGTTCTCTGATTATTACTTCAGTGATCCCCCCAGAGCTGCCAATGGAGCTATCAATAGCTGTTAATACATCCCTAATTGCATTAGCACGACGTGGGATATTCTGCACAGAACCATTTCGAATTCCCTTTGCTGGGAAGGTTGGTAGTTTTAACTTAAAATTTTTCTTCTTATTTTGTAATAACTTCTGCACATAGTCTCAAATTGCTTATTCAATATTATTGTTGTTCCACAATTAAGATGCAACATAGCTAGCGGTGGCAATTGGGTGGGTTGGGTTGGGTTGGGTTGGGTTTGGTTTGGGCTAAAGCTTCAACCAACCCATCTAACCCGGCAACCCATTACTGACCTAGCTATATAAAATTAAATGGGTTGGGTTCAACCCAAACCCGCTTTGACCCAATCCAACCCGCCCAAACCCATTAAACTTATATTTATGTACTTAAAACAAAGAACTTACTCCCACTTGACAAATAAGTTGATCATAGCTTGGTGGTAATAGTAGTTGTTATTTGCACAAGTGGTGAAGGTTCAAGTCACATTACATGCATGTTATTTTTACACAAGCGGCGAAGCCATTTGACTATGTTTGGGTTTTGTGTTTGACCAAACCACTTATGTTCAAACTAGTTAGACCAACTTGAACTATCTAACTGGATTGTTTTCGAGCTAATCACATCAAGTGGTTGAACCGTTTGGATTCATATTAGTCTGGTCGGACCAAACTAGATCTGTTCAGTCAATGGTAGATTGACTTGGACCAGCCCATTATCAGGTTTGTGCATGGGTTTGGGACCAAATCGATTGGCCCGAAACGGGTCAATGGAAGTAAATCGGACCCGTCCGGATTCGGGTTGGGTTGTATAGATATGAGTTGGACCAGACAGTTCAACCTGTGTCAAAGCAAGTAGGGCAGATTTTGGGCTTAATTGGACCAGGGTCCGGACTGAACCATCTCGTCTTGCCTTGCTTTGGATTTGGGTTGATCCGAACAGGCCTACCCCTGGGTTGGGCTCGGACTGGGCTGACTGACCCAAACAAACCGAACCGAGGTGATCAGGTCTGTTCATATTTAGACCAAGTTGAGCTGGTCCGAACTCGGGTCAAGATTTGGATTTATGTCGATTTGGGTGAAGTGTGTTGATTCGAGACAAAACTAATTTTTTTTTTTGTTTATGTCAATTTAGACAAAACTAATAGAAAATTAATGCATTAATTATAAGTTATTTCATTCAAATGAAGAGAATTAAAAAAAAGGCTAAGGAATTAATACTTGTATCTTTAGTGGTTAACTTAATGGCTATCCACAACCCAACCCGATCCAACCCATTTAAATTTACCCAATGGGTGATCAACCCATTTCCAACCTGCCAAGTAAATGGGCGGGTTGGGTGAAAAATTGCCACCTCTAAACATAGCCAATAAATTGTACTAGTATGACATCTCAAGAATCACCTATCTTTTTTTTGATCAATACAACAATCATCTATTTTTTTTTTTTAATTTTCTAAATCTTCTTTATAGGTCATCTGATTTACTGCTCAAGTCTGACTTGTTTTCTGCTTTTAGATGGATATAGAATGTTTGATACTAAAAAAGGCGTAATACAGGGAAAGAGAGATTGTTTACTGTTAAAAGAATGATCTTTCTGGGTGTATTGGGCAGGAGGATAGAGAAGTCTTTTTATTTTATGTTTTAGACACTCCTGTCCTCTATTTATGATAAACAGGGGCGTACCTGTAATTCAGCATCTTTTTATTATTAATATAAGGGTGGGCTGACTGCTTAGAGAGGATTATGGAGTCTAATCCTTTTCTATAACAGATTGGCAGTTTTCTCCGTTCTCTCTTCTCTCTTTTCTCCTCTCTTTCTTTTCTGGTTCGAACTTCATTGTAGCTCTGCTGTACAACATTTTCACATTTGCATAACAAAAATCTACACACAATTCATTACTCTTATATTGTAACTTCCTTATCTCTGCAGGTTGACATTTGCTGTTTTGACAAGACAGGAACTCTTACTTCAGATGACATGGTATGGGAGTAGGCGAATTGGCTTTTATGCTTGGTTGTTGGTTGCTGCCCTTATTTTGATTTGATTCTGACAAATCTTTTTCAGGAGTTCCGTGGAGTGGTAGGCTTATCTGACAGTCTGGATTTACAGTCAGATATGGCTAAAGTGCCTATTCACACATTAGAAATTCTTGCTTCTTGTCATGCTTTGGTGTTTGTGGACAACAAGCTGGTTAGTATGAAATCTGAGATATGTAATTATTTCTTTTCTCTTTCATTTTTCTTTTATATTTTTCTTGTCCTTAGGGTTAGTGGGTGATGCTGAAAACAGGGGAAGAATCTATATAGTGGCAATCTGTTTTACTAATGTGGTTGATTTCTCTGAACTAGAAATATTTGTTTCTGCTTCTTAAGAGTGTCAATGGGTTGTAGTGTTGTAAAAGAGCTCTTTATGTTGACTTATTGTTCAATGCACCTAGGATGATTCTTTTTATTGAAGTTCTAGGTTTCTCACTTGTTGAGTTGATGATGTTTCCTATTTGTTATGTGCTGTTTATGTATTTTATTTTGCAACATCTAAGTTTCTAATAGCTGCCGTTATGTTTTTTATTCTTATATTGTTGGTAGGGCCAATATTGTCATTGTATGTTATGTGCATTTCTGCAAATTCTACCCCTACTCTTTAAGATAAAGTGGTATTCTACTAGGCTTTCCACGTACATGGTACACCTTTAATAAATTTTCCCTTTTCAGAGAGACAATTATAACATGATGTTAGTGATTAAGGAAAGAGTGGCACGCCACTTAATAGTAAGTGATGGTGTCCTAACTTTTACAATCTAATCTCCGAGCACCTGTCCGGTCCGGGTGTGGAAGAGAGAAAAAAACTGCAGTTTTAATTTCCTCCACTGTAGGAGGGAGAGTTAACTGCATATTATCAGCTTCAGTAATATAGTAAGGAATAATATCCAGCAGGACGTCTAAGATATGGAATTGTTCAGCCGAAAGAATATTTTCAAAATAATGAATGCCCTCTGAAATAATTTGATTCTGGTTTGTGATAGAAGAACCATCCTGTAGAAAAATCTCCTTCATCAAAGAAGTATGCTGATTAGCTTTCACAGTGGCATGGAAAAATTTTGTGTTGCAGTCTCCCTCTGTAAGCCATTTCACTCTTGATTTCTGCTTCCAATAGATTTCTTCTTGTAGAAGCCAGTGATGCAGATTTTGCTTAGCTTCTTTAAGGCTGGTGAGACTTTCAAATGTATTATTTTTAGCATGAAACACGTCCTTTCTGAGAACATATCTCCTGCAAATTTGATATTTTGAAAGAGATCACCAAGGACATTTTTGTTCCAGGATCTGAGACAGCCTTTCAACCGTTTCAACATGAAGACAAGCCTTCGAAGAGGAGAACCCGGAGCAGGTAAGCTCCAATTCATAGTTACAGTAGGAAGAAAGGAATCACGATTCAGCCACATCTGCTGAAATCTGAACATGGAAGGGCCTGCTTCAGAATCATCTAGAACTTTGCAAAGAGGGCAGTTGTCTGAATATAAACTGTTCAAGTGATTGACCGGAAAAGAGAGAAAATTGGAGAGCCAAGTTTTGTTTTCCAAACCATGACCTAGTTGAGCCCATAAATGAGCTTGATCTTCTCTCCCATTGCACCAAGTAAAAGTATTGCCCTCAAAGCCAAGGTCATGCAAACCGACTGAGAAAATAAAATCCTGGAAATTTCTCATTGACTCCAAATTAGGACTGATACCCCCAAGTTTTTTAGAAGGATCCAGGATAGCATTGAAATTTCACAGGAGAAGGAAAGGCAAGGTGTTATTATTCAACGCATCACTAAGAGTCATCCACAACTGTTGACGTTCCTGCACAGAACATCTATCATGGACAACAAAAGCACAAAGGGGTCTAAACCCGGAATCTCTACTAAGCAACAAATAATTGAATCAGTAGTAAAAATAGAAGCAACTAAAATTGACGGTGCCACATCACTACCACCCGGAAATCATCTTCACTATTTACTAGAAAACCTCCAAAGTTCATTCTCTGCATGAGGGAAGACATTTTAGATGTGGGAACCTTAGGTTTGACCAGAGGTAACAGTCCCACATTATTATAAGTTCTTCAGTTTTTTTTTTTCTTTTATTTCAATGATGAATAGTGAGGCTGTTACCCAGACCCCTAGTATTCCAAAATAAAGTATTCATCATTCAAGAGAAGAGAAGGACACACCTTGACTCGCTTGGGATCTAGTTACCCTTTTCTCAAATGGGGGAACGCTATAGTCCTTTTTTTTTCCTTCCTTTCTGCTTGACTTGTTGAAAAGCAGATTCATCAACTATTCTTACCTCAGTTGGTTGAGACTCTTGAATGTCTGCAGGTACAAGATCTGGAACCGAAGTTATGTCCCCAATTTTGACAGCCATCTCGGGGAGCGTTTGACCCTTCATGATCTGATAGTTTTTTCATGGCTAACACCTTGTCACCAATTCTGTCATGGAAACCTTTCAGATTTTGCGAGAGAAGCAGATGATCGCCTTTCCTAGGTTCAGATTGAGTGAGTCTGTCAGACATGCCACTAAAAGTGTCAGCTTTTTCCAGTCTCACGGTGATGTCATATTTGGAAACTGGGATGCATGGCTTCACAGAGTTGAACAACTGTGTCTGTGACCGGGGAAGCTATATTAACTATGCTTGGATTATAAATATCTGTGTCGACCATGATGGTTTGATGATCACCCAGACTGTTGTTTGATTCTTTCTGCTTTTCATTTTCAGTTTCAGCAACTTCAAGTGAAACACCATCATTTTCTTTTTTGCCAGAGGAGGAATCATCTCCACCAGAAGGTTTGGTAATTGGAACATATTGCTCTGCCAGTTCTCCACTAGTATTATTTATCTTTGAGGTTTCAAAAGAGTGGCCGATTTTGTAGCAGTTGTTACAGTAAGAAGGAAAGTTTTTGTAGACTATTTCCTACTAAAAACCTTAACATTTGGAGCAAATCCAAACCCTAGAAGGGTGCTACTTCAATAAATCAAGTTGATGCAAACCCTAGCTGTAGAAGTTCTTGAGAGAGTACCAGTGGTCTGATTGAAGTTGATAATAGGACGTACCACCATGGCTATTGAACGAGGCAAGTTCTCCACATAAAAATTTAACTAGGGTAGTAGCCCATACCTCATTCTGTAGGCAAAATGTTTTGTAAAGAAAATCTTTGATCTCAGGCAGAGGAGGATGGCCATGCATACACTTTCCAACCAGTGCCCATTTGAGAACTTCATAAGACTATAGACAAGGGAAAGAAAATGAGGTTCCAGGTTGTAGATCTTTGGAAAAAAGTTTTTAAGGTAGAAGCAAAGTCATTTCTGCTCGAAGAGATGAGGCTGAAAGGGTTGCAGGGTTTGAAGATTAGGGAAGCTAAGAAAGGGATGGTGATGCTAGCAGGGTTAGAAGTGATTCAATGGGTCAAGGAGCTTGTGGAGCAAGCAAGTTACAAGGGCAAGCAAACCAACTGCAAACAATATCTCTCTGAAGATGGAAGAAAATATGTGATAGAAAGCAAGGTAAACTCTAAAGGGTCTTTCATATCACTAGCAGAGTACTTTGGTAAGGGAAAGAAGCAGATTGTCTGCTTCCCAGAGGGAAGGCAGAGTCTTGGATGGAAGGAGATAAGTGGGGCTTTGGGAGAAATACTGAAATGGAAGATAGGAAAACAAGGAGGTACAACAAAGGAGGGAAAAACAGAGAGAGAAACAGATAACTCTTATACAAGTCAAGATAAGATGGACAAGCAGGAGTTTCTTGTAGTGGCGAATAGTGCAAGGAGACAAGGAATAAGAGTGAATCTAGAGAAAGAAGATTGGGAAAAGAAACTTATAATTGTAGCTAGCTCCTGGGTAAAGAATTGGAAGGCAGTTGCAGATCTGTTAATAGTAAGGCTGAAGTTGAAGAAAACCTTCATTTTAACAACCTTTGAGAAATGTAAGGCAGTGCTGGATTTGCTTGAAGATAGAGTGGAAGTCATGGCCTTAAACATCTAGTCCAATATTGGAAATTTCACAATCTCAAGCTGGTGACCAGGATCAAACTTGAGAGACATCTTTGTAGAAGATGGGGTTCTAGTGAGACTGTTGGGCCTGCCTTTTCACCTGTGGAGGCAAGAAATTTCCGTATCGGTTGCAAATTTGTGTGGTGCGACCCTTGATGGTGCTTACTGGGGAGATTTCCACTTTGCAGCTATCAGTCTAAGTGCAGTAAAACCAGAGGAGATACCGCGGAAAGTGGAGCTGAGGGTGGAAGGGAAGGTTGTCTCAGTTTGGCTAGTATCAGCCATTGAAGCTCGGCTTTGGAGAGAGGCACGCAGATAGGGAGATGAGAAAGTTGAGGAAGAAGCTCTGTGTGGCACTAGAGGATTGGTGGATTCAAATGTAAATGGACCTTGCACCAAAATGGAAGCTAAAGATCTGGGGAGACCAAAAGACAGAGGAATAGGAGGGCTTTCTTAAGCGTGTAGTTGAAGGCAACAAGATGACAGGTAGCTGGACCTATGCACAGGTGGTTTCAGGCGCCAACCAAACAGGATTTAAAATAGGGGAGGGGTTGGCCCAGGTAAAGTCCAAAGCAGTTGGGCCAGTTGTAGGCCTAAACCAGAATGTGTCTAGTAAAGAGGGCTTACAGGTGTCCAAAGATGGGCATATGAAAAAGCCCACTGCCCAAGACTTATCAAGTGGGTCGAATGGTAAATTGGCCCAAGTAAGTGGTTTAGACTTAAGTAAGTCATGTGACTCTTTAAAAAGTCACATGGTTGAATAATTGGGAAATAAAGTGGCCCGAGTGAGTAGCTTAGACTTAAGTCACGTGACTCTTTAAAAGGTCACATGGTTGAACAGTTGGGAATTATAGTGGCCCAAGTGAATGGCTTAGACTTAAGTAAGTCATGTGACTCTTTAAAAGGTCACATGGTTGAACAGTTGGGAGACTCTATAGTCAAGAAGAATGGTCCATCACCTTCTTCATCGAGCTGTTCTGTTGGGTGCTGCAATTCTGGAGCAGCTTCAGCCAGAAATAGCTCGCTGCAATGGGTGCTGGCTAAGGTTTTAAACAGGGTTTCATCGGATAGGCCGTAGGCAGAATCCCAGATCTGTGAAGAGAAGTCTGCCCCAACTTGGGGAAGAAGGGTGGTCCGATGAAGAGATCAGTGAAAACTCAGATGGGAG